GAGTCCTGACAGGGACTAGAAAGAGAGAGCAGATTTCTGCCCTACAGTCGACCCCTGGTATTTGCGGGGTTAGGGACCACAACGGCCCGCGAGTAGCTGAAATCCATCCTTTTACACTCTCTATTGAATTTGATCATTAGTTATACATTTTAGAATTTGGCTTGGTGTGTGGTTTGGTGTGTGGCAGCACGGTGGCACGGTGGTTAGCACTGTTACCTCACAGCAAGAAGGTCCTGAGTTCAGTTCCACCATCAGCGCGGGATCTTTCTGTGTGGAATTTGTATGTTCTCCCCGTGTTTGCGTGGGTTCCCTCCGGGTACTCTGGCTTCCTCCCACTGTCCAAAGACATGCACCTTGTGGGGATAGGTTAATTGGATAATCCAAATTGCCACTAGGTGTGAGTGCGGATGGTTGTCTGTCCCTGTGTGTTGGCCCTGCGACAGACTGTTGACCTGTCCAGGGTGTAGCCCCGCCTCTCACCCGATGACAGCTGGGATAGGCTCCAGCGCCCCCCGTGACCCTGATAAGCGAATGGATGGATGGATGGCTTGGTGTGTGTTTTTTGTCCAGTTGCCTCTGCTTTCTTTTCCCTCCCCTGACTCCCGAGTCTGTCCATATGGTCGTCGTCTGATGGGGTTTCTCTCTAATATTGTAGGTGCTACATAAATGAAATTGAATTGAACTGAATTGAATCCAAATGCTGATGAAATTAATTTTAGGCTTCAGGCCTCTGACTTTAAACTGTCCATTTGTCCTAACTCATCCTTGCAGATGTGTGGAGGACAGAGATGTGAAATCCCAGGGGCAACTTTTCTATATCAAAGCAGTGACCCTGAAGGACGCAAAGGACAAGGGGAAAGAGCAGAGCAACACCAAACAAAACGAGCCCTGCACGAGCGGACAAGAAGAGGAGGAGCTCAATCTGGACTCCCATGTGGTGATTCGCTATCACAGAGGCCCAGTCCTAATAGGACAGCAAATCAGAGTCTCAGTGAATCTGAGAGCTAATGTCAGTGGTCATTTTGCAGCCATTAGGTAATTAAAAAGAACATTTGTGCAGCTCTTTGTTCATGTCCACAGCTGCTGTCAATAGCCACTCTTTGTGTCTTCAGGATGAAGGTGAAGAAGGGCCTGGTGTCAATAGTGGCCCAGAGAACTTTGACCTCTGACATGTGGACAGTGACCCTGGAAAGAACCCAAGCCTCCAAACACGATGTGTTGTCCATCCTCTGCCACAGACAGAGAAAACTAAAGCAGCCACATGAGTAAGTTCAGCAACACCTTTTTCCAACATGTTAATAGAATATTAAAGTCAGCCATCTTTAAGGAGACGTATGCGATGACTTTACTGCAGTTTCCATAAAGTGAGGTTGGGGTGCACCCTGGAGGGGTTTCCAGTCTGTTGCAGGGCTAGTACAGAGAACGGCAGCTGGATAGTGTAGTGGAACGACTACACACCTTTGGAATGGAAGTCCCAAGTTCAATTCCCTCCCAGTATCCAGTAAGGGTCCTGGCTAGGCCCCCCCCCATGCCGAAACACCAAGCCCTGCAATGGCGCGGCTATGTCCACAGCTTGGACACGACACATTTCGCTTTGCGGTTGTGTATGTGGCTAATAAAGCTCATTTCTTCTTTCTTTGAATGTGATCTTTGTCTGCCTGCAGTCCCACTCTCCTCCAGCAGGTGGCGTGTTTGTCAGTCGACGGCTTGAGGCGCAGCTTCGGTGTTGCCATGATGGTGCCTGCTAATTGGTGGGTGGAGTACTCCAGACGTACTACCGTCCCGCCATCACATGTAGGAGCAGTGAGCATCTTTTCATTCACAGATCGTCACATCTTTGGCATTGCACCTATAACAGAGGTACGTAATTCTTTTAAAGTCCATCAGATGCCCATCACATGTCATCTGATTGCTCTGAAGGTGTGTTTCCTGTTGGTCTGTCCACAGAGTAACACGTTGATCAACACAGCTATACTGAACAACCAGCCCGTGCTGCTGCCCGTCATTGTGCTGGCTGTAAGCCATGACGAGAAGGTGTCAGATGTTACCTCTGCAGTCACATGTCACTCCATCAATGAGAATAGTATCAAGGTGCAACATGTCTCACAACATGTCTCACAACATGTCTCACAACATGTCTCACAACACACATTTCACAATTTCATGAGCAGTCTGGTTCTGCTGGAGGTTTCTTCCTGTTAAAAGAGAGTTTTTCCTCAACAATGTCAGCAAAGCGCTTGCCCAGAGCTGGTCATATGATTGTTGGGGTTTTCTGTGTTGTATTATTGTTGGGCAGGGGTCTCAAACTTGCAGCCCGGGGGCCACTTGTGGACCACGTCATGTCAATACAGTGGGGCAAAAAAGTATTTAGTCAGCCACCGATTGTGCAAGTTCCCCCACCTAAAATGATGACAGAGGTCAGTAATTTGCACCAGAGGTACACTTCAACTGTGAGAGACAGAATGTGAAAAAAAAATCCATGAATCCACATGGTAGGATTTGTAAAGAATTTATTCGTAAATCAGGGTGGAAAATAAGTATTTGGTCAATAACAAAAATACAACTCAATACTTTGTAACATAACCTTTGTTGGCAATAACAGAGGTCAAACGTTTACTATAGGTCTTTACCAGGTTTGCACACACAGTAGCTGGTATTTTGGCCCATTCCTCCATGCAGATCTTCTCGAGAGCAGTGATGTTTTGGGGCTGTCGCCGAGCAACACGGACTTTCAACTCCCGCCACAGATTTTCTATGGGGTTGAGGTCTGGAGACTGGCTAGGCCACTCCAGGACTTTCAAATGCTTCTTACGGAGCCACTCCTTTGTTGCCCGGGCGGTGTGTTTTGGATCATTGTCATGTTGGAAGACCCAGCCTCGTTTCATCTTCAAAGTTCTCACTGATGGAAGGAGGTTTTGGCTCAAAATCTCACGATACATGGCCCCATTCATTCTGTCCTTAACACGGATCAGTCGTCCTGTCCCCTTGGCAGAAAAACAGCCCCATAGCATGATGTTTCCACCCCCATGCTTCACAGTAGGTATGGTGTTCTTGGGATGCAACTCAGTATTCTTCTTCCTCCAAACACGACGAGTTGAGTTTATACCAAAAAGTTCTACTTTGGTTTCATCTGACCACATGACATTCTCCCAATCCTCTGCTGTATCATCCATGTGCTCTCTGGCAAACTTCAGACGGGCCTGGACATGCACTGGCTTCAGCAGCGGAACACGTCTGGCACTGCGGGATTTGATTCCCTGCCCTTGTAGTGTGTTACTGATGGTGACCTTTGTTACTTTGGTCCCAGCTCTCTGCAGGTCATTCACCAGGTCCCCCCGTGTGGTTCTGGGATCTTTGCTCACCGTTCTCATGATCATTTTGACCCCACGGGATGAGATCTTGCGTGGAGCCCCAGATCGAGGGAGATTATCAGTGGTCTTGTATGTCTTCCATTTTCTGATGATTGCTCCCACAGTTGATTTTTTCACACCAAGCTGCTTGCCTATTGTAGATTCACTCTTCCCAGTCTGGTGCAGGTCTACAATACTTTTCCTGGTGTCCTTCGAAAGCTCTTTGGTCTTGGCCATGGCGGAGTTTGGAGTCTGACTGTTTGAGGCTGTGGACAGGTGTCTTTTATACAGATGATGAGTTCAAACAGGTGCCATTCATACAGGTAACGAGTGGGGGACAGAAAAGCTTCTTACAGAAGACGTTACAGGTCTGTGAGAGCCAGAGATTTTCCTTGTTTGAGGTGACCAAATACTTATTTTCCACCCTGATTTACGAATAAATTCTTTACAAATCCTACCATGTGGATTCATGGATTTTTTTTTTCACATTCTGTCTCTCACAGTTGAAGTGTACCTCTGGTGCAAATTACTGACCTCTGTCATCATTTTAAGTGGGGGAACTTGCACAATCGGTGGCTGACTAAATACTTTTTTGCCCCACTGTATGAGCAGAGAGTACAAACATGCTGAGGACTGTGTCAGTTCAGTGAGAGTCACAAACTAATGTGTACGCTCATGTCTGCATTTTATTTTGTTAAATATGAACATAACGACAGCAGAAGTGCTACCACGTATGTGGGCAGACAGAGAGGACCAATGTGTTTGTTTTTGGTAGATCAATGAAAGGATTCAGTTAGTTAAGAGGGAGTTTGCGTTTTATCTTGTTATACAATGTTTGAAAACGCAAAGAAGCAAAACATTTTCAGTATTATTTGTTTGTGTTTTCTTGTTTGTTTGTTTTGTACTCCTTGAACACTAAAGTGTCCTCCAATGAGACGACAGTGCCAGCAGTGGCCCACAGCTCATTTCAGTTTGTAGGGTCACCTTACAATTAACGCACCCAGAGGCAACTGTTTAAGTTTTATATAATTCATTTTAAATTCCATTTTTAGTTAACCAAAACAACTGCACTACCTCAGTGCTTAAAGTAAAAGTCAAAAACAGTTAAACAACATCTTGGAGTCTTTTTCAGTGGCTCAGTTTTGCCAGGTTATCGTAGAGACGGCTCGATTGCTGTCGCTTGACATTCAAATTTGACCTGCACCTGGTTCACCTTAAATTTAGTTTGTGCTGTTGACTAGGTCCAAAGTCAAGACTAAACTTCAGTGTTTCTAAACCTCTCTGGGTAAATGGACCTTACAGTATACAGGGCCTTTCTGCTTCATTTGAACACTCAGAGCAATTCAAGCCTCATTCAGCCAGTCACACACATATTCACACAGCACTTTTATTTATGCCTAAGCTTTATTGTTTGGCAAGGTGGAGTACACAACTGATTAAAAACAGCTCACCCAAAATGAAACATGCATGTTTATCCATTTTTATCATTTCGGTGATATTTTCCCAGGTTTGTAATGTTGGCTTTAGAGATGTCTGAATATAACAGAATTCAACTCCACTCTGAGCGTAACGTGCCTTTTCAAAAATCACAAACCAAACATTATCATCCATCTACCAAACTGTGTTTAGAGAGGTTTAGCACAAATCTGAAAAGTACGTGAGACAGCTAATTGAACTTTAATGCCAAAAGGAAACCAGTGCGATTACTTTAAACTGTATAGATGAAACAAATATCATATTTTGTATGTGTCTCTTCCATACAGGTTTCCAGTGATTGCTCTACCCTCTACGTTGATGGCAGTGAATCAGGATTAGGGTCGACCTGTGCAGTGGTGGAGTTTCATCTGGGCATGCTCAGTGGGTCTGTGTGTCTGGAGGTTTGGGCTCCCTCCGTGCCCCTACATGTCTCCTTGGCAGATCCTACTCTCAATGTCATTGATGGATGGAACCTGATCACAGAGAAAGGGTAAAAACTAGGCCCGCTGTGTCTTCAGTCTGTTTTAACTTGTTGTACTATAGTTCATTGTATCTGTGTTTATCTCCTCTCTCCTCTGGAGATGTAACCATTTCCTTAAAGGCCTGTTGAACTACACTGACTCTTCTACTGCTTGGTTCAAACTACATAATACCTAAATGAAAACAGAGTGTGAAAACTGAAAAGGTTTATGTAATTAACTCATCATGACCCCACAATCATCCGGTCTAGCATCATTTTACCGGAAAGAAATACTGCGCAGTATAAAACCAGTGTATTTAATGTTTGTTATCATGGGACAAACTGCAGACCGGTCACAAGATGTTCTATGAGAATATACTACATTCATATTCTGCATGGACAAAAGTGAAAAATGTGATACATAGTAATCTCGTAAGCTTTTTACCAGAAACATGATCAAACACAGTAAGAGTATAAAAACGTTTGCTTACCAAAAAGTACCACATTGCTGTGGCCTGTGTTAAATATCCCAATTCTTTGAACTTTGGGCTGAAGGAAGAACAACAATCGGTGTGTAAATGCTCAATCAACAATCTCTTTATTCCATACAATTCTCATTATTTCATACAACACTTTGAGCATAAACGTCCAGACGGGAGATGTGGAAAGGAGGGTGTCCGCCACGTCTCGAAGTGTCTGAGCGTTTCTGACATTCTTATAGCTTCAGCCCCCCCCCCCCCAAAGTCACAAAACCTAAACATCCACATTCTTTCTCTCTCAGTGAGCCTAAACTATGGCCTTGGCTTCCTGTTCAGTATGTTTTGTTCTTTCTAATCAGAAAAGGAAGGCCATGATTCTACACAAACAGCATTTCTTATAACTCAGCAGTATAATGAATAATAAAACAGTGTAATGATTTCACAATCTTTAATCTAAGGCATAATGTGGCCTATAGCATTAGCAAACAGGCAAATTCAGCAACTGACATCTTCTTTCATCATCTTTCGTACTTGAGCTCGTAAGCCCACATAAATGGGAAGGGTCGCATCAGGAAGAGCATGGTGTCAAATTTTCGCGGATCACCAGAAAAAGTCAGTCGGGGCCCAGGGTAACAACAACCACCTCCAGTACTATTTGTCAACAGGGTCCTGGTGGAAACTGTTGGCCAAAGACAAAAGAAGAGAAGAGAAGGAAGGCGGGAGTGTGGAGATGAGAGTAGGGATGCTGAATGTAGGGAAAGTAGGGACGAGCAGGAGACGAGGTAGGAGGAAAGCAAGAAGAATCGGAGATGGATTCAAGCTGTTGATGAGGAAGGTGCACACAGATGGCCCACATCTCTGAAGAAGGTACAATCTGAAGTTTGGGCACTTTGTTGCTCTGAAGCATTCATGTACATGTTAACAATGCCACAATCTTCCTAGGAGTACAAATTCGAGGACCCAAAGGTCACCCCAAAGGTCAAAGCATGCAGTGTTCAGAGAAACAAACAAAGAAAAAACAACAGCTACATCTCAGACAGCTTCTCTTTTCTGGAAGTGCCTCCTCTGAACTGAACATGATGACACAGATTTACAGAGTTCCATCTGAACAAACTAGAAGACCAGAACGATGTGTGGCCTTAATGCACAGCAGCATGTTTGGAGAAAGCATATCAACACAACACTGCACAACAACTGCCAAGGACGGGGGGGCATGATATGGCCTTGTTGAGTCAAAAGTTCAGCCATCTGTCCAACAGCTAAAGCTTGGCCAAAACTGGGTCATGCAACGGGATGATTATGAAAAATATATGTTTCACAGTTTGTATATTTTTAAAAAATCCTCATTCAGGTCAATGAGAGAGAGGCAGAGTGTGGGAGGAGCAGAAAAATTGCACTGAAATCTTTTCAACCTGCCAGTAATCCAATAATTACGACCACACAACCATCATTTTACACTCAGGTCAAAGCTGATTTCTCTTCTTTCAAGCAAGGTCTTCCTCAGATCCAGCAGATGAATAGTTTTTGGAGGCATATGAGTGAGTGGTCAGAGGTTTACAGACACTCATTATGAGGCACAAACATGGACTTTATTTACACTGCCAGTCAAAGTCTGGACACACTGAGATAAGATAAGATAAGATAAGATAAGATAACTCTTTATTGTCATTGCACAGTTATACATAGCACAATAGTACAATGAAATTGGAAAACTGTCCCATGTCGGCAAACACAA